AGGAAGGAATAAATCATAACTAACTTGCTCAGAACAGCTAATGGCTGTAGGAGTCTCTTCATGTGTTAGGGTTAGTGGCTATCATGTAGATTTAAAACCAAGAGCTCCAGAAGTCAGCACTCAGCGTTCTCACGTGAGGGAATGAGTAGCCCTGGACAGGCTCATCCCTACCACTAAGACAGTTCTAGGGGACTCACAGAATCATCGTGCCCTGGAAGTCAGTGTCTTAGTTAGGGTTTCTATTGCTATGATAAAGATCATGACGAAAAGGAACTGTGGGAGGAAGGGGTTTTCATCAGCTCACAACTCTCCGTTCACAGTCCATCACAGATAAGAGACAGGGCAGGGACTGGAGGTAGACACAAGCAGGAGCTGTGAAGGCTTCTTACTGTTGCTTACTGGTCAGTTCCTCTTGGCTTGCTCAGCCTGCTTTCTTACAAAGATCAGAGGCAGCACAGGCCCCAGGAGTGGGGTCGTCCTGCATCCATCACTAATCACCATAGGCTTGCCCACAGGCCAGTCTGCTGGAGGCATTAACTGAGCTTCCTTCTTCACAAAGGTCTAGGTTATATCAAGTTGACAAAACCAACCGTCATTGTCAAGGATCTTTCCTGGCTGTCGTCTATGTCGGTGTTGGTCGTAACCTTCTCTACAGTAAGAGAGGGTATGTGATGGGCATCTCAAGCACACTTAGGGAGTCACTGAACACTGGCTCTGGAGGGACTATGGAAGGCAGAAAGCAGCTCCATGTCCCACCATCTCTGGTGCTCTGGTGTCCCTCATCCTAATATGTCCATCTTTCAAGACTTGGCGCCCTCTCTCTCTCTCTCTCTCTCTCTCTCTCTCTCTCTTTCTCTCTTTCTCTCTCTCTCTCTCTGCCAAGGCTGACCTTTAACTCTTGCTTCCACATTCCAAGCACTGGAATTACAGGCATGTTCAACCGTGCCCCGCATTTTTTTCTATTTCATCCCTACTGAACCAGGTCTATCATAAGATGCTCCCTTCCAGGGCTAATTCTGGTCCAGGTAATTGCAATATCTTCCTATTCCAATGTTTGAGCTATTCACTTACAATGTCATCGAGCTCACGTTTCTTCCTTCCCAGTCCTGACTCTCATGTATTTATCACCTGAACCGGCCTGATTCTCCTACTGGCATTTACTGGGCTCTTGTCTAGTTCCCCACGTGCTGAGGCCATGTTTATTTTCAGCTCAGTCAAGGAGCCTAGAAGAGGGTTTTCTGATTCACTGGCATCTGGGTACATAAACACATGCACAAGTTCACAACATGGCTTCATTGCAAATACTTGGCTTCCTGTATGTCACAGATAGGTGAGACGAACCAATCTGACTCATTCCTATGGTCTACACTCCAGAGTATAAAATGACCCCCAAGGAGCACCATGGCTTAGATATCAGTTTTTATTTCACATAACAAGCAGGACACTTAATAAAACAATAACTTACATGACAAAGCTCGAAGATCTAATAAAGTGGTAGTATTAAAAATAAAGGCCGGTTATGTACACAAGAGGGCGCTGATCAGCGTGTGTGTAGCTGCCTTGGCTGCCATTGTCCACAGCACGTGGACATGTGCATGTTGCTCATGCTGTCCATAGTAAATGGACATGTACTGAGGAGCACCACTTACATAGGAAGCTTCCAGAAAACCCACCCAATCTGAGGCTGTGGGTGGCAGTTGCTGGGATGATCTTTGGGGTGACTGGGAAAGGCTGGGTCAGGACAGTGGATAGAGGTTGGGGCTGCTGTAGCCAATCAGAATCCAGGTTACATAGTTGGGTTTGCTGGGGAGGGGGGACAGGGTTGAGTTGCTCTGAGTACAGTGTCTCTCACTCTCAGGCAGAATTCACAGGGCAGTCATGGTTTTTAGCTGGTGAATGAGTTTCAGAGCTCAAAATGCAGAGAGGACATCAAAGGCACTTTAGGAAGGACATAGGTCAGGATTCCCCATGGTCTTCCTTTGAAGTCAACTCTGAGCCTTAGGAAGGGGACTTTGCCTTCCCCAGGCCCCTGAGCACCATCTGTAGGGTCTCCCTCCTCATGCTGAGGTGCAATTGCAGGATTGCCTGTGAAGGGCTCAGCATGGTACACATCCACATGAATTCTTGGGAGGGAGCCAACCCCAATATCAAGGAAAGCAAGACTAAATCCACTGTGACATTAACTTGATTCGGGGGATGATCAATACCATGAAGTTTCAAGAGCTAGACCTGGTAACGATGAGGTAATGAAGATGCCCAAGCTGGCAGCCCTTGTGGGTCCAACTTGCAGCAAGGTGGCCATGGACCACTTCCTCCCTTGCTGAACATCACAGTGAAATAAGACACTACTTTGTGGATGGATTATGAGATCAGTCCACAAACAGATGAATGGATAAGGAAATATAGCATATTTATAAGGTGTGTGTGTGTGTGTGTGTGTGGTGTGTGTGTGTGTGTGTGTGTACTGTTGTCATAAACAATGAGATGGTGTCATTTGTTACCAAGAGGATAAGCTGTCGCTTTCAACACAAACCTTTGCTGGGGTCTCGGTCATCTCTCAATAGTTTGAACTGAAGCCCCAATCTCCCTTGGACATTTGTATGTGGCCCTGTAAAATCCTGCCCTGTCCTATAGTTTGGGAATCCACAGATACTGGATGTCTGGGGCTCAAGTGGCTGAGGAGAGAAAGGTTGTCATGAGAGGATGCTGTGGCCACAGGGAACACCAGCCTTTCAAAGCCCAGCCCAGGTGGCTCTTCAAGACTGAAGGATGACCAGAGGTGTGGGGCATGTGATTGAGGAGTCACTCACCTGCCCAGACACCGACAGCAATGTTTGCCCAGGAGTCTCAGCTGTCCCTCCCCATGTTCCAAGGACTCCAGTGATTGCTCAGTTCCTTATGCTTTCAAATGCACTATGACCTCACGGAATGCTATCACGGTGTCCAAATGACATAAAACCCTCCGACTAGCAGTGGCTGTCAGGCGCCTCCGGCCTGGGAAGCTGCTTTTAAAATATCCAGTTTAAGAACGTTCTCGACAACAGGGGTAATCCTGGCTGCAAGTTTTGCTTCACTAGAGTTAAGGCAACCAGCTCTGGGAGTCATGTGACTGGTTCATCAGACTTTTAGAGGCATAATTATAAATGATTCAGGAATCTGGTTCACTTTCAAAACATCTGGGAACAAACTAAGCAAATTTCTTATTCAAATATGCAAAACGTGTCTTCAAACAGGCTGCTCTTCAACTAAGGGCCAAGCGGCCCTCAGCACGGAAGGCTCGAAGAAGCGCCAGGTGCCTTCTAGAAATGGCAGAGTGATGAAGAAGGGTTAAAAGCTGTGGGCCCATGGGCCAGAAGAAGGCAAAAGTACTTCGATCCCGGTCCACACAAAGGCGAGCACAGCACCTTAGAGAGCCCTTCCTGGGCAGACATGTCAGACTCGCCTAAGCTCAATGGCTGAGAATGTTGGGCTTGACCTCCAAGATACAGGTGCACTAGGGTCATCCCAGAGGCCGCAGCATAATGTAACCCAAGACTCGGGGATGAACCAGTTTGCAGAGAAATAAAAGTCCGCTGGGTTCGGGGATGTTGAGGCTGGATGGAAGCTGGCAGGCTGGTGAGCCTTCTCACAGCATGGCTACCCAAGTTCTGTGGCTCTCTAGCAGGAGTTCTGATGCCAGGTTCTTATCATACAGACTTGTGTCTCTGAGGTATCCTCCTGTGGTAGTTTATCTCCATTATCAACTTGACTGGACTCAGAATCACCTGAAGGCAAAACTCCGAGTATGTCTGTAAGGGTGTCTACAAAGAGATTTAACTGAGGGAAAACCCACAGCAAATGTGGGTGGCATCCTCATGTAAAACCAGGGCCACAATAATTCCTCTCGCCCCCTCCTACCCCCACCTTGCCACCTCCCTCCCTTCAGTTGCTTTAGCCAGATAGTTTCCCACAGCAACAGAAAGCTAGCTCACACACTTTCTTAGCATGCCTCTTGAGAGCACTTGAACAACCTGGAGCTGCCTCAGCAGGAGCCTCAGCTGGGCGCAAGGAGCAATTCACAGACACCTGAGCATACCACCACGGAGCAGAGAGCTGCCTGTCTGAGTCCACACCCCAGTGAACCCACACTGTTCTGTAGACTCCATGCTGTGACTCCTTGGAACCAAAGGGACTAATAGTAGGAACCAGAAAGACTGGCTCAAAAGAGTCCCTGTCCCCAAACTGCCGCCTCACTGGCCTGAATCTCAGAAAGACCTGAAGTAGCAGGCTGGGGTGGGGGTTGGGGGGTTTTCTGAAGTGTAGTCTCGGCTGGAGAACACAGAGGCAGCAGAAGGTGCCCAGGTACTGTGAAGGTGCCCTGGGGCCGTCTCCTGAGACAGCAGAGCCCAGGGGAAGTGGCCTGGGCAGCTAAGGATCCACACAGACTCTGAGGCTCCTGGGCTCCAGCCGTTGGAGTGCCCGTAGGAAGACATGCCAGGTACAGTGGCCATCTCAGGCTTGGTTACCTTCAGAGGTCCTTGAATGGAGGAAGACCACACTGCAGAAGAAAACAAAAATGGCAGTAAGAAAGAGAGAAAACCAGGAAAAGTCACCCAGCCAAGAGGAAGTGACCATCGGCTCCCATACTAGATGTTCCCATCAGGACACGGACGGGACAGCAACCTCTTGCGACAACCCGGAGAAAAAGTATGCAGTCCCTCCCCCATCTCAGTCTGTGACAAAGCATGGGCCACTCTCCCACGGAAGGACAAAAGCCTCTGCGTTTAGGAATTGGTCCAGACACAGGGATAAATGCGGGAAGAGTGGCTGTACCAGAATAATACTGATGATGTGGATGTGGTCCACATTCATGCCCCCAAACTCCATACTGACAACATGTGACTTATCCCCTTCCCAGCCCCCACTCCACCCCATGCCATGTGGCTCACCCCTTCCCAGCCCCCACTCCACCCCACGCCATGTGGCTCACCCCTTCCCAGCCCCCACTCCAAACTCACACCTCAGGCCTGTGCCTCCTGAACACCAGCTGTGGAATGGGAAGCCGTGGCCTCTCCTCCTGTCTCCTTTGTTGGCTGGAGCTGCAGGATCATGGCCTGCAGTGTTTCCTTCACCATCTGGAGCTCCCCCTGGAGAGACTGTGGAAGCTGTTAAGGAGCACAAGGAGGAGAACCCCCCCCCCCCCACACACACACCCGGGCCAGTGAGAGCAAGCCAGCCTGCGCAGAACAGGTGGACACTGACATTGAATCGCAGCTCCACACTCTTCCAAAATATAGCAATTAAATATTAATGAAAACTTTATACTTCCTCTTTTAAAAACCAGTCATGACTTCTGTCAGGTCCAAGGTTATTAACTTTCGAATTTTGGTTTCAAAACTCTGAAGAAAGGCTCAGTTGTCAAGCTGAGATAGATGTCCAACTCAGATGCTCAGCGACATGTGACGGTGTAGCCACAAGAGTGTCTCAGTCCCCAGGCTGCGGTGGATAACTGTCACATTCAAGTGCTCTGACAGCAGACAGGGCAGGTGTTGGATATCAGAGCCTCAAGAAACCTAGCATTCAGGGCTGTGGTGAGAGGGACCCCTCAACCCTCAACATCAACTCTGAGCATGGGAGCACTTGACATGAGCCCGCCAGTTCAGCATCAGGGACTGTGTGCTCACAAGGGTCATTCCAGCCCCTGGGACAAAAAGCCCTTCAGAGCTCTGTTACTTCTCATTGGGTAACTCTGGACTCTGCTCTACCCTGGGCTCCAGCCTGCTGCCATCTTCCCCAATTTAGAGTGAAATGCCTATCCACCCTGAAAAAGTTTGTTTTGTTTTGTTTTTTTAATCTTCTGGAAGTTTCCACAGATTTCAGTCCTTTGTGTCATGTCCATCCACTCCCAGGATGTCCACCATCTGCACCTGAACTTAAAGGGAACATGGGCAAAGCCAGAGAGGAAGCCATCCACTAAAATGCCTTTGTGTTTTGTTGTAAAATGTGATTTTATCCTCCATCCCTCCAGACCTCTGGAAAGGTCTATCCATCTCGAGACAGCGTGGGGGAGTCATATGACTTTATACAAGCTGAAACTTGTGTCCCAGACCGAACACCAAGATGCAATTTGTCACGGGGTCTGGTCTCTTGTAAGGAGTAAGAGGGTGCAGTGGGCTCTGGGTCCTGACAACGCCCTGAGATCTGACTACCTCTGATGCTGGTCTGGGGCCTCACAGCACTCTACTCTGCTAAGTGATGACGAGGTCTTGCAGAGAGAAACGAAGACAAACAGCGATGCTCAGGAAACTTCTGGGACCACAAAGCTAACTAAAAAAAGGCTAAAGACAGAGAAAAGTCTCCAGAGGAAAAGACTAAATTATAAAATTGAATTAACACATCAGCTTCACACATAATAATTTCCATTATTGCACCAAAGAGTCAGGAAGATGGGATCTGAGAACGCAAATCTCCTGGGAAGCCAGGGATCGTATCATGTGTACTTAATTGTCCATCTGTAAACTATAGAATCTCACAACTTAGTCACAGAGGCAGAGCCTACAGCAGGGGGGGGGGGGCGGAACGAGGGAGGGGAGAAGGATACATGCGCGCGCGCGCACACACACACACACACACTCACACACCTGCCGGGAGCTGCAGGCACACTCATCTCTGAACAATGAAATCAGTTTCTCACCTATCCCAGTAGGAGGTAGGAGCACTGATCAGGCCTAGACTGGTTTTAGACGCTTGTACAGGATAGCAAACTGTGTCCTCAGAATGGACTTTTAAGGGAGAACCCCCTATTTTCCATCTTATGTCTATGCATAAGCTGACATACATATGCTTATCATCAGATGCATTATGGGACGGGAAGAGGAAAATGGTTATATAACTTAAAAATCTGTCAGTTAAAATAGAGAAACACGCAAACCATATCCTTAGTAACCAGATTCCTCCTCTTGAAGCCCATGAAAGGAGCCCCGAGATGACAATCAGGGCGTCTGAGTACCTACACTCACATCCGCATATTTTCTGGCCTGTGATGTTGCTTTCCTGGGGCGGAAGTAGCCGTGCTGCTTCCACAGATCCGTGCACACTTATTTCAATGCTTTAAATGAGACACCAAGAACCTGGAGACACCTGACCCAGATCTTGTCCATTGGTGGCCTGCAATGTGCCCAGGGAGATTGTGTCACCAACCTCATGCTGAGTTCATACTGTGTCCCACTGGCAGAAGGACCATCCTGGTCTGAACACATTGTCTGCTCCAACTTTTCCTACCCAGACCTCGGCAGGAGGCAGAAGAAAACACGTGGCTGCCACCCCTCCATCAGCCGGGCATGCACAGGGCCTCGAAGAGCAGCCTGCCTGGCTCTCTGCTCTCCCACTATAAATTACTAAAGATCTTCCCAGGCGTCCTTGCTGCTCCTTAGTGTTAGAGGTAAAAGAACATTCTAAGGAGGCAAGACAGTAACCCCTCGGCTCTGAAACCTTGGCATCTTTAGGCTACACACTGGAAAGTGGAACCAGACAGGAACCCTTTGGGGCTGTGGAGTTTTATGCATGAGCCTGGATACATTTAGTCTCTGCATGCCATCAAGGCTAGCAAGACGAATCAATTGGGCACCGTGCATTCCCAATGAGCAGAGAGAATAGGCTCCCAAGAGGGCTTCTGGATGGGAATGCAAATGCCTTGTAAATAGAATCAGCCTGGTCCTTGCTCATCCATGACTCAGCAGAGGCTGGCAGAACTGCCTGGGGCTGTGAAAGATGCCAGGATACGCCGGGCTTCCTTTCTGCCTATAGTGAGCTATGGAAGTCAAAGGAAAAAGAAAGGGGGCGGGGATTCTGTTTAAAAATTCACAGAGCCTAAAAGCTTTCCAGTTCCGGCATTCTGAACGTGGAGGAGCAGTTACAGAGCCGCTAGAGGGATTTAGGAACGGAACTGCTGATTAGAATCCAGAATCTGTGCAAACATGGTGCAGATTCAGACCACTGCTAATGGATCCCCAGTATGCCTGGCTGTGAAGTCACATCCCTGTCCCACCTCTGGAGGCTTCTTGCACCCCTCCCTGCCTCCTGCTCTCCCAGTTAACTGTGCAGTTCAGAGGCTCCCGGTCACCTCAGCTGATGGCTTAAGCTGTTCACAATGCCTGTAACGGAGGAAGCCCGCCAAGACGACAAAGAAACAGCCTATCTGTTTCCTCCGTCCTCGGCTCTGCCAATCCAGCCTTCCTCTCCCACCCGGCCGGCTGCTGTGACTCTGACACCGACAGGCTGTGCAAGAATATTCAGTAGCTTTAGAAGCGCCCACCATATTGCACGTCCCCAGGCCACCCCTCTGTGTGTGACATACTGGCACACCACCTGCTTTGCTCCTGCAGACACGTGGCTTACAATAAGGACCAACCCCAGGAAAGAGGGACAGCCAACTGTATCTGGGGCTCAGACCCTCCAGAAAGGTGTCCCATGTGGGTTTACATCAGCACGCTCTAGCGTGGACGTGGGCTAAACACGCATCATCTGCTACATGTACACAGTGGTCCTGGCAGCACGCTTAGTGAGATCAAGGGAGACACCGCCCTCCCTGCTCTGTTCTGTTCTGCTGCGTTACTGGTTCCAAGCCTTTTCTTTCAGGAACACTCAGCATTGTGCCTTTGATTGCAAAGGAAAACACATATCAGCCAGACTTTGGCTGGGGGATTCCTGCAGCCTCTTTGGAGGCCTTGATAAATTCTAATTTGAAACAACAGCTTTTGTTTGTGAGGGAGCCCCGCAGAGCATTGTGAACGCGGCTTCCCGACTCAGACTCATTATTATACCCGAATCCAAGTGCTACTTCACGGAGCTTAAAGACGCATTCTGTATGTTATTCTTGCCCAGTGACACAGAACTCGGCCTGGATTCCGGGGAAAGTTGGGGTAAATATGTGTTGCGGTGTAGATGTTATCTACGGAAGGGTTGATTTCCTACCTAACCCAATACTTCCTGCCCCTGGTGGTATGGTACTCATTTGATATGTCCTGGACGGGCCCAAGTGCTTGGACGCTTGGTCTATAGCTGGTAATGCTGCGTGGTGGAGTTGTGGAACTTTTTTTTTTCATATACTTTTTTATTTAAAACTGTTTTTTTTTAAATTTATTTATTTATTAAGGATTTCTGCCTCGTCCCCACAACCGCTTCCCATTTCCCTCCCCCTCCCCCGATCAAGTCCCCCTCCCTCATCTGCTGGAAGAGCAATCAGGGTTCCCTGACCTGTGGGAAGCCCAAGGACTGCCCACTTCTATCCAGGTCTCCTAAGGTGAGCATTCAAACTGCCTAGGCTCCCACAAAGCCAGTACGTGCAGTAGGATCAAAAACCCACTGCAATTGTTCTTGAATTCTCAGTATTCCTCATTGTCCGCTATGTTCAGCTAGTCCGGATTTATCCCATGCTTTTTCAGACCTAGGCCAGCTGGCCTTGGTGAGATCCCAATAGAACATCCCCATTGTCTTAGTGTGTGGGTGCACCCCTTGTGGTCCTGAGTTCCTTGCTCGTGCTCCGTCTCCTTCTGCTCCTGATTTGGACCTTGAGATTTCTGTCTGGTGCTCCCGTGTGGGTCTCTGTGGAACTTTTAAGCAGTGACTCCTGACTGGTGTAAGTGGGTCACTGGAGACAAGCCTTGAGGGTCTTAATCCTGGTCCCCTGCCCCCTACTTCTGGCTGGAGCTCTCTGTTTCCTGAGCTACTGAAGATATCAGAAGTCACCCCCATGAACTCCCACCACGAAGGGTAGCATCAGCAGCTACCATGCCTTCGCACCATGATAGTTTGGATCATGAGCCACATTCTGCTCAGCTGTCCCAACCCCTCCCAAGCCTGGCAGACCTGGGACCCACACACACACACTCCCAGTCTTTGCCTCTGTCAACAATCACTGTTCAATTTCATAGACAACACACCCGCTAGAAGCATCCAAGTCTGTGATCTATTAACACGTTACCTCCTTCTCCTTCTGCTTCCTAAGGCAACTGTGAAGTAATGGCATCTATCCTGGAGTTGGAAGAGGCAGGAGGCTGTGCAGAACTGAATGCTCTTTAAAAAGGTAGAAACGATGGCAGAAGCCAATCAAGGAAAAGCCGCTGAGTTGATAAGCACGTAAAGTCATCAGGAAACACACTGCCTCTGTGCCTGGCCACACATCTGAACAGGTCTGAATAAGAACAGCCTTTGGCTGTCCAAAGCGACTTAAATATATGCATGGAGACAAAGTAAAACAGACACTAAGGTTCTAAAAAGTCAGGCAGTGAGAAACAAAGACCAAAATACCTGAATTTCCCACAAACGGATAAACAAAGAGAGTAACAGACAAGGAGGTGACGAGCTTCAAAGGGCGACTTGTGACAAATTAAACTGAGGGATTGGGGTAGGCTAAGTATGCCTTTCCCCACCTGTGTTACCATGTGACTCTTTAACTGACACCTTGCTGGGACCCAGAATCACCTGAGAGGGGAACCTTCTGAAGAACTGTCTACATCAGGTGGACCTGTGTGGGGCTGTCTTGATTGTTAACTGAACTACGGGGATCCAGCCCCCTGGCACATTTTTCTAGGCTGGGCCCTGAGTTATACAAGAGATGAGAAAGCTCGTTGAGTAAGCAAGCAGGCAGCATGGGTGCGTCTGCTGCTTTCTGCTTTCGACTGTGTGACTAGTCTGGCCACCTGAGCTCCTAGCCTGTCCCCCAGAGATGAAATTTAAACAGAAAGTATAAGCCAAATAAAACCTAAGCGGCTTTCAGTCAGGGTGTTACAGCAACTAGGGATGGAACTAGTTCAGAACCCAGTCACACTCTTCCAAAGAGCTCACTAGTGACAAACAACATGTGTCCACCACCAGGGACGTGTGTGCCCCTTTGTTAGAAATTAGATGCTCCCCCAGCCTGCCCTTCAGGGACTCAGCACCAGCAGACGCCAAACCTCAGGGTCAGCCTCCAACAGGTGCGGTACATTACCGCTGTAACTACAAGTTGTGTATTCTCCCTATGCAACGCGTGTGCCCTTTTAAAGGCCACTCCCAACATCACAGCCTTCTCTTGTTCTTTCTCTCTGCCTTCCAGTCTCTTTGTCTGTCTCTCTCTCTCTCCCATGCCCCCACTCCAAGACAACAAACACATCTCAACAAATCCCTTACATGCTATCTGCTGTGTGGTGCGATCTCTTTGCAGCAGGAATTGGCCCAGATCCGCCAAGGTCCTCTGCCACTGAACCCTAACACCGATTCCGTCAATAAATCCTAATACCCGCCGCATACACAAGTGAGCCCGTATGTCCTCTTCCCACCTGATTAGGCCAGCTGGCTTTGAGGCAGGCGTCTGTAGCTGTGGCATTAAGATGTGGAGGTTCGTGCAAGAAAATAGAATTTTCAGCACCAAAAAGGACTATGCGAAGCTTAACCACGAGTATGTGTTAGACGTCAGAAAGAAGGTATTAGTTTGGACACCCCACTATCTATGGCATGCCAAAGGCAGAACAAAGGACTTCAAAGAAGGCTTTGCATCTCTAGGTATTGAAGAGGCCTTTAAGGAGGTGAGCCACTAAACTGTTTGGCTCTTTCTGGTTGTTTCCCTATGGCCACACAGACTCATCTTTGAGCTCACCAAAACCTCCATTTTGCCTTGGTTTTGGCTGCGTGCCTAACTGAACTCTGTGGCTAATACTTAGCAGCTGGGTTTGATAATTGAAAAGATTGGATGGTTTACAAAAACCAGAGGTGAAGTCCTCCACACAGAATCAACTCAGATCCAAGATGCGCTGAACAGCGGCATTGGTTCCCCTCCATCTGCAGAGGCACGGGGATGTGGTACGCATTTTTAGATTTTCTCTTGCAAAGTAACTTCTGAAAAAATGGAAAGGATATGAAAGAGAGCTTCATCGGGACTGTGGATGGCTCTGTGAAGTTGATCTTCGAGGTGCAGGAGCCTCACGCCTATGACTTCACATTTTTCTCCAACTTCAGCGGAAATGATGTGAGATTCCTGGTCAGAGAATAAGGAAAAGAGTCAGCCTTGGGACCCCGAGGGCTTTGTGTACAGTCAGAACACACAGACAGCTCTCCTGGGTTAGCTGTGGGATTCTGAGGACAGCAGCCACGACTAACTAACACCATGGTCAAGCCCAAAATCAATCAGAAGGAGGGAACATCTGCAGAGCAATGATTGGCAGTGGCTGGATCACGTGTCACACTTGGAATGCAAAACAGTGTGGGTGGGTCAAATTGTGACCACCAACTGGAAAAGAAGGGACCCAACACTCCGAGTAAAGCAAACCGAACACCTCAGTCTTGTTCCAAAAGGATCAGCTAATGAAAAATAAAAGTTAAATGGAACAAACTAAAAAGTACAGCTTCACAATTCCCCCAGGCAGGCCATCTCTGAACACGTCGTGCGGGCTGGCAGTATGGGTGTGAACTTGGGCCACCTCAGACCTTACAGTGAGCCCTGTTAGTTGTCCCTGTCCTGTGACTTGGTGCTGGGTGACTACTCTTCCTGAAATCTATCACAGAGAAACAATTTACATATTTAAATTGGGATTATTTCTATTAAGACTTTGTAATAAGCATGGAAAAATCATACGGGTGTGTGCACATGCCCAAGAGAAATAGAAGATTTGAACCACACAAAGATAAAAGCATTAGGAGCCCAGCAAAATAATGGGAGAAAACAGCCCAGGCATAGCGAGAATGGTTAGAGGCAGTGTGTGTGTGTGTGTGTGTGTGTGTGTGTGTGTGTGTGAAGTACAGCTCATTTCCAGGTAAAAATCCTCCAAAAGACATGTAACAGTAAGACCAACATACTTGATTGTAACAGGACCATGGCCCTTACTTCCCTCTGACCTTGAGAGGAAATGGCCCTTTGGTGAACACTCAGCCTCACGAGAGATTTACATTGTGAGGGGCGGGAGAAAGAAACATGGTCACTGTTGCCCAGCCTTTACACCTACTAAGGTGCGTATTAGCTGCGTGGAAGAATAAGGGGGATGCTCTGCCTCAATGGTGGTGCTGTGTGTGTGTGTGTGTGTGTGTGTGTGTGTGTGCTGCTCACTTGGGAGAGCGTGGTCTCTTTCTGGTGCTGAGTGTGTGTGTGTGTGTGTGTGTGTGTGTGTGTGTGTGTGCTGCTCACTTGGGAGAGCGTAGTCTCTTCCTGGTGCTGAGTGTGTGTGTGTGTGTGTGTGTGTGTGTGTGTGTGTGTGTGTGCTGCTCACTTGGGAGAGCGTGGTCTCTTCCTGGTGCTGAGTGTGTGTGTGTGTGTGTGTGTGTGTGTGTGTGTGTGTGTGCTGCTCACTTGGGAGAGCGTGGTCTCTTCCTGGTGCTGAGTGTGTGTGTGTGTGTGTGTGTGTGTGTGTGTGTGCTGCTCACTTGGGAGAGCGTGGCCTCTTGGGAAGTGTGGAGCCCTCTACACCAGAGCTGGCTTCTTCCTTCTCTAACAGCAGCCATCTGAAGCTGTTCTATCCAGCTGGGGAGGGGGGGTCGGGATCTGCACACCCTGGGGTGCCCCGTGGAAAGGAACGGGGGTTTTCCTGAGAACCACATGCCAGTTTCTGTCCTCGCGCGTTTCTTCTGCTGTGAAGAACTCATCTAAAGTTAATAAGACAAACATGATGAAGACTTGTCTCCTCCCCTCAGAATAAAGGAAATGTGTTCAAGTTGTCCCTCAAGAAAACCCAGAAACACTGAAGATCCAGTGTAAGTCCAAACAGTGAAGTAAGATGCACGTGTTGGCTGGAGGTCCCACACTGGGGTCTGCCCGCCTGGGCCCCAAGTCCCTCTGAAACTATCAAAGTATAGGCATCAGCGAACAGCTGGCACAGACACAGGTTTTGAGGGCATCCCGGGTTCCCCGAGAGAGCTCTACCTCCCAGGACAGGGTGCCAGCTGGGCGGGTCTCAGGGACCACCCAGCATCGTCCCTTCTTCTCCATCTAAGGAAAATGTCTCAGATGACCTGGGCACCAAGACTAGTAGCTCCTAGTCCACCTCAGGGAAACACAGAGACGGCTCTGAGTTCCTGGAGGGTTCAGCTCCTAAAAACGGGAGAAGGCGGGGTCCTCCCTCCAGGGCCAGTGCCCACAGGAACCAGAAGCGGCAATGTTTATCCTAACAGTGTTAAGTCGGGCACCTCTGCAGTGTTTGTGATGCATCAGACAAAGAAAACTTGTATGATTGATACTTGGTAATTAAAAATTACCACCACGCCCATCCTGCCTCCCCTCAGGATTCTTGGCTGAGTCGGGCTTTCTCAGGATCAGCAGTTCTGAGGGTGATTTAGTGTGAACTGTAGCAAAGTGTCTTTGAAAACTGCCCTGAAAGCCCTCCTGTAATTTGCCCCTTGAGCAGTCTTTTCAGCAATTCAAATTGTTATTTTTTTTCTTTCCTAGACACTCCGTCTGTCATTTACCCAGAGGGGCTTCTGTTTTTCCCTGTGGGTCAGAATGAACAAGTCTCTGCAGAAGGCAAACTGCCTCATGGCTCTTCCCCTCCTGGGCCCCCACACACACCCCCAGTTCTCAGACCCTTGTAATTCCTCTTCAGGGAACACCTCCATGAGGAAGCCCCGCCCACACAAACTCCAGCAATCTGCTGCCCTATTCCTCCACCACGCTGCAACCCAAAGATGTCCTGACATCTCTGCTGACCCCCCTCTCCTGCCTCCCTCCAAGGAAGCCCTTGCCTGTTGAGCCCTTCCCCTGCCCAGTGCTAAGGGTTAGATTTGTTTTAACCTTGTAAAGCTCTTGTGGGGAGACTCGTCCCCAGGGCAGCGGTACTCAGCCAGGGCCGGATGGGAGCAGGTGGGGCCACCAGGTGCTGCTTTGAGAAGGGATGGATGCTAGTGTCTGGGGTTACTCTACTACTGGGAGGAATGTTATAAAAGAATAAGCTTCTCTGACTTCCTCTCTCACTGTGTGATTGACTCTGTATGATGTAATACCACTTACTGAGAGGTCACGGAGCCACAGGGTCCCTCATCAGAGGCCAAACAATGGGGCTGTCTGACTGACCATGAACTGTTAGACTCACTGGGAACTATAATATACCTTTCTTCTTTATAAAGTGCCCAGACTTAGGCACTTGGTGACAGCAATAAAATAAAAGCTAATACAGAAAGTCCTGAAGAAGCTTTGCGGTATCTTAGACGGTACTAGACAGACGATGCTCTCAAGATGGGTGGGCAGAGCCAGATAAAGAAGCCTTTTCCAAACATCAAATGCCTGTCTATGCCTCAATACAGACTATAATAACCTGTCTGGGGTAATCTCTCTGCCTCTGGGGCAGCTGCTGGTCTTGAATGACTACAACAGCATTTTATGAACACACACATGTGCGCATGCACATATGTGTTGAAAATAGAAACTGTCTCCAGGAGGGGACAAGTCCTTGTCCCCTATTTAGGGTTAATCCTGTGAGGCAGGTCAGGAGCCTGGTTGGTGGCCACGCCGTGGAAGGTGGGTTCACCTTAAGATAATGGACATTTTCCTTCCCAGAATTCCTGTCCCCTAGTGCAGCATCCTTGAGGTTCCATTGGGTCTGACGGCCTTCCTGAGCCAAGCTTTTCCGCTACCTTCTTCTTGTGGATGCTGCCCATGCTTGCTTCTCTTCTCCATTCTCCTCCCTATAAGATTTACAGCTCGCCTCCCCTGGGGTTTTCAATGCTAACAAATCATCCTTAGGCTTCCATTTGATTGCATTCTTCCTCCCTAAGCCTCCGTGTTCTGTTCTTAATTTTTTTATTAATGAGACTAAGACGCCTGAGACATAACCCCAGTTTCTCCAGTACTATAAAATGGCTTTTCTGGGAAGTCTAGGTGTCTGGTGAACACCTTGTAATTCTTTAATATGAAGAGAAAATGATCCCTTTCTTGCACTCCCAGACAGCATCATGTGACACATACATACACACATGTGTGCACACACACGCACACACACCTTTTATTGACCTCAGAGGATGCCCTGTGACCTTACAGGCAGTCCCTCCATGGGTGAGTTCAGTAGAGCCAGCATCACTCCAAACATCATTTGCAGGTCACCTTGTGATCAAACCCGCAGGCCCATGACAGACCTTTTTCAGCTGTGTTGTTAGAGCTGATGTCAGATTTCTGTCCTACTCTCTTAGTTCGAGGAACCTGGTTTAAAACAGAAAGTAGAGCTCCCTTTGATGAGCAGAACATTTTCAAGACAACTTTCTAAAAGTACAGACCTAAAATGTGCACTTTAGATCCAATGGCTGGCAGGATACTAACCCACATGTGTGGCAGGACCATCAACACTCCACGGCCAGCATCTTTGAGGGCTTTTTTTTACTTAGTCACACCTCCTGTAAAGGTGGTTAAGTCCTTGGATAGCACATTTGGGAAACACAACATTTAGAAGCTTTGAACTGGAGTTCATATTCCAATAATAAGGGCTGTCTTGATGAGCACTTGGTGTTAGGCTGTACCTACAGCATGAGAAAGTCTTATATACTATTGAGTATATGAATATGATATATGAATATGATCCTTTGGAATAGGAAGTCCATTAAAATCACTGCTAGGTGAGGTGTGCTCTGTGTGTGCCATGGGAAAGGCCCCCCACTGCACAGAATGCACGGTCTTGGAAATGTCACCATCGGTGGTGATCTACTGCAAACTCAAGCAGACAGGCCACCCCTTTGGTCACACACTGGATTGACATTGTTTAAATAGCCAACTTCTCAAATTGTTCTCCAAAGCCATTCTAAGGGAAGAGGCAGGATGAGGTATTGGAGTCAAACAACTGAACAAGAAAAACCATGTAACTAAATAATAAATCAACTATGGCGAGGATTTAACAGGCCTGTGTACGTATAGGAAGTACGCTAACCTGGGACTGGATTCCAAAGCCACAGCCAACCTCCATTGTTGTTGCGGGGTTGGGGGAAGGTGACAGGCAAGGTGGAGACCACAAGCTCCTGCCTGAGCCGCCATCTTGGCTATTGTCCTGTGCCATAACTCAGTCAGCTCAC